GGTAAAAAGGGTGAAGGGATTTAGAAATACAAATTAGTGGTTATAATATACTCATGGGGGTACAAAGTACAACATAATTAATATAGTTAATAATATCCTAATAACTATGTATGGTGTCAGATGGATGAGGTTTAGCGAATGATCACTTAATAAATTTTATGTCTAATCACCAAACACCTGAAATAATATAGTATTGTATGTAAACTATAATTGAAAAAATAAAAAAATAACGATTAAGAAAAAGAAAAAAAATCTGAAAGAAGATCTAAAATCAATCATCTAACCCACCACCTTAAAAACCAGGGGGAAAAAGAGCAAATCAAATCCAAAATAACACAAAAGAAATAATAAAATTTAGAACAGAAATCAATGAAATTGAAAACTGGAAAGAGTGAAAATCAAAAGCTGGTTCTTTCTAAATATATATAAAATGACTAAGCTCTACTGGGGAGAGAGGAAATGGGAAACTTCTTCAGTGGATATAGAGTTCAGTTTTACAAGATAAAATGGTCTAGAGATGTTTTACAATAATATGAATATAGTTAACACTACTTTACACTTAAAATCTGTATTTTAAAAAGGGCAACAAGACCCTAACTAGCCAGGCTTAAAAAAAAAGGGGGGGGGGGGCGCACAGCAAGCCTCTACCCAGGCTAAGAAAAAAAAGAGAGAACACATAAGCAATTAATATAAAAAAGGAAAGTGGAAAAATGAAACTAGATCACCAACTTACACCATACACAAAAACAAACTCAGAATGGCTAAAGGACTTAAATGTAAGACAGAAAACCATAAAAATCCTACAAGACTCCATAGGCAGCAAAATAGCAGACATATGTCGTAGCAATATCTTTACAGACACAGACCCAAGGGCAAGAAAGATAAAGGAGAAAATAAACAAATGGGACTACATCGAAATAAAAAGCTTCTGCACAGCAAAAGAAACCATCAATAAAACAACAAGAAAGCCTACTGCATAGGAGAACATATTTGCCAATGCTGTTTCAGAAAAGGGAAATTTATAGAGAACTCATATAACTTAACAAAAGGAAGATAAACAATCCAATCAAAAAATGGGCAAAGGACCTAAATAGACACTTTTCGAAAGAGGACATACAGTAGGCCGAGAAACATATGAAAACATGTTCAAAGTCACTAATCATCCAAGAGATGCAAATCAAAACAACAATGAGGTACCATCTCACACCTGTCAGAATGGCTATCATCAACAAATCAACAAACGACAAGTGCTGGCGAGGATGCAGAGAAAAGGGAACCCTCCTGCACTGCTGGTGAGAATGCAGACTGGTGCAGCCACTGTGGAAAACAGTACGGAGTTTCCTCAAAAAGTGAAAAATGGAACTCCCATTTGACCCAGTGATCCCACTTCTAGGAATATCTACCAAGAAACCAGAAACACCAATCAGAAAGGATATATGAACCCCTATGTTCATAGCAGCACAATTTACAATAGCTAAGATTTGGAAACAACCTAAGTGCCCATCAGATGAATGGATTAAAAAACTGTGGTATATCTACACAATGGAATACTACGCCGCTATAAAAAAAAGAAGTAACTTTTAGCATTTGCAACAGTATGGATGGAACTGGAGAGCATTATGCTAAGTGAAATAAGCCAGTCAGAGAAAGATAAATATCACATGATCTCACTCATATGTGGATATAATGATCAACATAATTTGATGAACAAGAATAGATCCAGAGATAAATGGCAGGGGAAAGGGGTGCAGTTAGAGAGCAACCAAAGGACTTGTATGCATGCGTATTAGCATAACCAATGGACACAGACACTGGGGCGGTGGGGGCTTGCCCAGGGTAGGAATGGCTGGGGGAGCTGAAGGGGGGGGTCAAGCAGGGAAAATGTAAAGTTTTATGTAACATATGTAAAATCTTAGACAACAAATAAAATAATAAAAGAAAAAGAAAAAGAAAGTGGGGACACCACAAAAAGCCTTCATGGAGATTGAGAGAATAACAAGGGACTACAATGAACAATTCTATACTCACAAATTTGATAACCGAGATAAAATCAATCAATTCTTTGGAAGATACAATTAGCCAAAATTCACACAAGAAAAAAACAGATAATCTGGTAGGCCTATATCTGTAAAAGAAATTGAATCAGTAATTAAAACCTTCCAAAAAAGAAAATATCAGGCCATATGGATTCAGTGGTAAATTCTACCAAACATTTAAGGAAGACATTATACCAATTCTCTACAATCTCTTCCAGAAGACGGCAGCAGAAGGAATACGCCTAACTCATTCTAAGAATTCAGGATTACTCTAATATCAAAATCAAACAAAGGTATTACAAAAAAAGAAAACTAGACCAATATAGCTTATGAACATAGATGCAAAATCCTCAAAAAAAAATTAGCAAATTGAATCCAATCCTATCTAATAAAAGAGAAACATGGTAATTAGTGTACAACCGCTACCCTTCCCATTGGCTAATGAGGGTGATATGCAAATTAACTGCCAGCCAAGATGGAGACTGGCAGCCAGGCAGCTTGAAACTAACATGAGGCTTGCTTGCTTCAGTGACGGAGGAAACCAACGTTCCCCGCCTGCCTTGCCGGCCTCTGAGCCTGCAGTTTGAAACATTGTAACAAATATAGAAGCTAAACAAAACCCCAGAAACCTGCTTTCAGCGAGACGGGATCTCAGAGCTGGAGTTATACATTGTTTCAATTACAGAACCCAAACAAACCAGATACCCGCTTTCAGCAGCAGAGGCCTCAGAGCTGGAGCCAGAGCTAAAGCTGGCCCAGAATAGAAAAGAAAAAAAAGGGAAAAAAGGACAGGTTGGGAGCTTCAGTCACTCGCCAGCCTGAAAACAGCCCTCATCCCCTCACACAGACTGGCCAGGCACCCCAGTGGGGACCCCCACCCTGATCCAGGACACCCTTCAGGGCAAACCAGCCAGCCCCACCCATGCACCAGGCCTCTAGTAAAAGGGTAATATGCCTCCCAGCACTGGGATCAGCGGAGCCGAGAGGCCTCCCGTCACCGGGATCAGCGTGACAGGGGGCAGGCCCAAACCCCCAGATTGCCCTGCGGCTCTGTGTGTGACAGGGGGCAGGGCCACAACCTCCCTATCCGTCCTGCTCTGTTCGTGACAGGGGAAGGCGCCCCAACCTCCTGATCAGCACTGCTCTGTGCCTGATACGGGGGAGCTCCCCAACCCCCTGATAGCCCTGCGGCTCTGTGTGTGACAGGGTGCGGTGCCCCAAACCCCCCCTACCCCCCACGGGCCCTGCTCTGTGTGTGACCGGGTAGAGCCATAACCTCCCCATCGGCCCTGCCCTGCGTGTGAGAGTGGCAGCGCCCCAACCCCCTGATTGGCCCTGCTCTGTGGGTGATAGAGGGCGGCGCACCAACCCTCCCCCCGCCCTCCCACGGGCCCTGCTGTGTGTGTGACAGGGTAGAGCCATAACCTCCCCCTTGGCCCTGCTCTGAGTGTGACAGTGGCGGCACCCCAACCCCCTGATTGACCCTGCTCTGTGCGTGACAGGGTACGGAGCCCCAACCCCCCTGGTGGGCCCTCCTCTGTGCGTGACAGGGGGTGGCACCGCAACCTCCCTATCGACCCTGCCTTGAGTGTGACAGGGGGCGGTGCCCCAACCCTCCAATCGGCCCTACCCTGAGCGTGACTGACGGTGGCATCACAACCTCCCAATCCGCCCTGCTCTGTGCATGACAGGGGGCGGCGCCCCAACTCCCCAATTGGCCCAGCTCTGAGCCTGACCAGGGGCTGCACCTAGGGATTGGGCCTGCCCTCTGCCACCCGGGAGCAGGCCTAAGCCAACAGATCGTTATCTCCCGAGGGGTCCCAGACTGCGAGAGGGTACAGGCCGGGCTGAGGGACCCCCCTCCCCCCTGAGTGCACAAATTTTTGTGCACCGGGCCTCTAGTAATGTATAAAAAGAATTATACACCACAACCAAGTGGAATTTATTCCATGTATGCGAGGCCAGTTCAACATTCAAAAATCACATCAACCTACTAAAAAAAGAAAAGGCTATTTCAACGGGCTATGTAAAAATTGGTAAGCATATATACTAGAACACAACTATAAGCAGTTATCCATTTATTCACACTATGTGCCAACTATTGGGATATAAGGGGAAATAAGACAAACTTCATGCTCTTGTAGAATTTACAGTCTATTACAGTCAGAACACTGAACAAGCAATCACAAGCCCCTAAATCAGGGACTCAACCTAGACTGGCAGGGTGATGGTGATGAAGCACTAACTAGGCTAGAAAACAGGGAGGGGTATGGCTTAGGAGGATATTATAAGCAGGATATATGAAGGTCATGAATCAAAAGAAAAAGTACAATATATTAAATGTACTGAAAGGAATCCAGGTTTAATATCACAGAAAGAAAAGGATTACATATGGTTATGGTTTTGCTGGTTATCAGGTAAAATTAAAAATACAAGAAGGAAAAAACTTTATGGGTGCCTACAAAAGAATACCTTAGGTGATGAGCCATGATATCTACAGTAAATAGAGAAGACTAAAGATCTTAATATACTTTCAAAAGATGAAAAAATAAAGAAGGCAGGAACTGCTAAGTTACAGAATTTGAAGGAAAGCCCTTCAAGTGCATGCTCTTTTTCTAATTATGCTCAAGATTCAATCTTTCCACCCATTAAGGAAAAACTCAGAAGTTAAAACAAAATACTTTAAAAATTAAGCACTTAAAATTTAACACACAGTAATCCTGATGAAGAAATAAATGTTATCCTGGAAAAGATAAGTTTCTAAAATGTATGTAATACAAAAAGTTAATTTTGCATTTTCCAATATAATTTACGTCAATATTTAGTGTATCTATTTAAGAACACCAATGTGAACTATTTAGCCATTAAACGTTTTCTGAAATTTCTTCAATGACTTGTAGTATTACCCAATACTAAATTATGTTTCTAATTATATGCTTAATATTTTATAAAGGAGTTACTTACAGGGACATTAAGTGCATACTGTAGTCCTTGAGGAAGTCTTTCATGTGTTTCCATCTGCTCTTCATCATTTTTCACTGTTTCCTCATGGACCATGAGTTCATCATGTGATATCATATCCTGTTGTCTCATTTCACTTTCTTGTAACACTTCATCTGAAGCAAGGATCTCCTGGTGGGGCAGACTCCGATCTTGAAGTACCGACTCCTGCAGGTCCCCAGACACAGTGGACTGGCCAGACACTCCACCCATTACCACCATCGCCCTGGAAGACTGCATTTCGTCTATGCCGCCACATTTAAGAAATAATCCTTCCAGTTTGTCGTCAATGTTCATGCTTAAGTATAACTGCCTAGAAAGACCAAGTTTGGTAACAAAGCATAGTAAATTAGTTTTATATGTCTACTTGATAATTCTTTAATTCAAATTATGAAAGTATACACTTTAATAGAAAAACTTCACTCATGTATTTCAGTATTGCCTCCAATTTTTAAATTACCAAGACTAGTAGAGCAAAATACAAATTTTCATTTTTGTCTTAAAAACATTCTCTAATCTATTTTTATGAAAAATGAGCCTGACATTAAGGAAATATGTATTTGTAATAGTCACAGGATTCATATCCTTTAGGATATTAAAATGCTTTATAAGAAGAAGAAATACATTCATTAAGAAATAAGCTGACAAAACATTATCAGGCAAGTCATAAAATAAACTTAGAAACAGTCACTAAATATATAACATAATAGTGGATTACAATACTCAAAGAGACAAACATTAAAACAGAAGTATATACTTCATTTACCAAACTGGTAATAACTTTTAAAAAATTAAGTACAATGTTGAGGTGGCTGACGAAAAGACACATCTACTGACAATGGGATTAAAAATTAGTTCAACAATTTTCAAAGGCAATTTGGTCTATATATCAAAAGCCATAAAACTGCACATATTCTTTGAACCAGTGATTATACTTTTAGGAACCTATTCTGATGAAATCAGTAATGCATACAAAGATATACACGAAAAATCACTGTAGTGTATGTAACAGTGAAAAACTGAAAATGTACTATATATTCAACAAAAGAAAACTAATTAAATATATTCATACATATGCTTGAAAACTAAACTATAGTGATGGCTGCACAACTCAATAAATTTACTAAAAATCACTGAATTGTACATTTAAAACAGGTGAATTTTAATTTTATTGCATGTAAATTATATCTCAATAGGTTTTTCTTAAAAATAAAATCAGAATGGCTACCCTTGGGAGGGGCTGCTGATAGGAGGCAGGAAGAGAAGGATGTCTGAGAGCTGGCAATGTTTTTTCTTGAGTTGAATGATGGTTGCACAGGTGTGCTCACTTTGTAAAATTGCAAGATGTACATCTGTGATATGTGCACATTCTGTCAGTTGTTACAGTACTTCAATAAAAAGTCTGTTGAAACAAAAAATCCATATAGTCATAAAAATATTCTTTAAAAATATTTTTAAATGTGGAGAAATATCCCAATATAAAGGGAATTGTGTGTTTGCGTGTGTGAATGTGCACAGGTTTATCTAAAATATTAATATTAACATCACCAAAGGATGGTAAAATTACCAGGTTTTCTCTCAATTATAGTTATCTCTAATTTGAAAATTTTCCACAATAAAAATTTTTATAAATGTTTTTAAATTTCTTTAAATGTAATAAAAGTATTGTCATTACTAATATAGTCAAGTAGTTGTACATGATTAAATAGGTCATGATAAAAACTAGACACTATTACATTATCTTATTTTCTCTATTATTATAGAAAAGCCAAGCAATATTAAATCTGCCCTTCTAACTCTGGTTGCTATAAATTCATATTCCATTGTGCTATTCTAGGAACTAACAACAACCATGAAATTCAAAGAAACATCTCAAAGAAGGTCAAAGCATTGGTACAAAGCTTGTTTTTTTAAACTGACTTCTATCATCAGATTGTGTGAAATAAACAGACATACCCTACCCAAGGAGATGGGACCATAATGAGTAAACACATTAACTATGTTTCAGTTTAGTCACCTCTTTCCCAAATCAATAATGCTTACTGCCTTGGATCATAGCTTTCAGAGGTAAAATAAATGATCAGTTAAGTTCAAATACACTACTGAAATTTAAATACTATTTCTTTTACTAAGGTTTTTATATAGGGAGAAAAATTTACTTAAATAAACAGCTAAAAACATATAATAGCAAAGTAAACAAAATAAAAATATAATTCATACTTGCTAATCTTGTTTTCCCTGGTACCAGGTACTATGAGTCTGGATTACATAGGACAAAGAACCGAGAATCTCATTTCACTTTTTAAAATCTCTAAGTAGCAAACTTAAAATCTAAAGAAAATATATTTTAAATATACTACCAAATAACTGTTCTCTTCAAATATTCTGTTATCACGTTTCTTACAAAATAAACTATCCTATGACTATGTGAAACTTAAGTTTTTGAGGGTTAGAATTTGCTTATTTTGGACATTTCTTTGGAAATTCTTACCAAATAAATTATATTCTTCTAATCTATTTACTGTTTTCTTAAAGAATTAGGAAAGCCCCTAACTTAAAAAGGACTTATATATACAGTTGCTGCTACAGTTGCTAGTGCTACACAGTTTTGTTTTGTTTTTAAGGAGATTTTTGGCTCAGTGGTTGAGTGTCAACCTATGAACCAGGAGGTCATGGTTCGATTGCCAGTCAGGGCACATGTTCAGATTGCTTGGTCAATCCCCAGTAGGGGGTATGCAGGAGGCAGCCGAGCAATTCGCTCTCATCATTGATGTTTCTCTCTCTCTCCCCTTCTCCCTTCCTTTGTGAAATCAATAAAAATATATTTTTTAAATTAATTAATTAAAATTAAAAAGGAGATTTTAAAAATATAGGAGCTGTATAAGAAGAGATTATTAAATTATCAATTTAGAGAAACTGACCTAGGACAGAACTTAGTTTTTAAATAAAAGTGGCCCAAGTTGAAGCTGACTTGTTAAGCCAACACAAGGTCCACATTTCCCTAAAGCAGAAGTACCCAACTCCAATGTTCCTGATCACATACCTTATCAATTTTTAAAAATTTAGCATATCCTAATACATCTGACCTTTGCACAATACAGGGTTAGGAGTACTGACCCCCTGCATATAACTTTTAATTCCCCAAAAACTTAACTAGTCCCTTGATATCCTTAAGGGATTGGTTCCAGGACCCCTGTTCAATACCAAAATTTGAGGATGCTCAAGACCTTATAATAAAATGGTGTGGAACAACGCATACAGTCGACTCTCGGCATCCACAAATTCCCAACCGAGGATCAAAAATAAGTTTTTTAGGGCTAAAACTTATTCAATGTATGGTTGGCTGAATCCACAGGTGTGAAACCTGGAAATACAGAGAGTCACTATATATTTATTGGGGAAAATCTGCAGATAAGTGGACCCACACAGTTCAAACCCATGTTGTCCAAGAGTCAACTGTATATGCATACTATTTTAAACTAAACTCTTATAACATTGTGTTAATATATAATGTCCACATCAACAAACACAAATATGTAATACATATATACATATATATACACATATATACTAGTATATATATATATATTTCTTTTTTTTACTCACCTTATCCCTAACATCAGACTGAAACAATTAGAATTGAGCAAGTCAAAGTACTTTGGAGATACAGAATACTTTGAGGGAAAAGGCAGGTTTGCATAAAGTGCCAAAGTAAGGGACTTAGAACAGGAAGACAGCAAACCTCAACAGAAGTGGTAAATGGAAAGGGAAACAGAAATACTGTAAATGGAAGACAAACTTGACCTCTTTGAAAATTTTCTTAAAAACAGGCCATATACACAGAAAAAATAATCCTCTCTTCCTTTTTTACATACGGGTTCTTATTCCTATGACCATATTGGCTTAACCTATAAACTATTTTTAAGACAATTTCCCTGAAATACCAGAAAATACTAAGATAACACAGATTTCAATATCAATGAACAATGCTCTGATGAGGTTTTAAACTAGCCTTGGAAAGATCTATCCAAAATGAAAACTACACATGTAACCCTGACCCAGCAACCTCAGTGCTAAAAATACATACAATCCTGCGGGCTTATTCATGAAAATTAACCAAAGATATATGTACAACCCTTTAATAGGAAAAGATTGGAGACAACCTAAGCATCCACTGCCAAGACTTATTCAACCATACAATGGTATGCACACAGCCATTAAAAGGAATAATGCAGCGGGGACAGGGGCAGGCTAGAAGGGGCCAATGGGGGGGATATGTAATACTTTCAACAATAGGTGGTTGCTATATGTGCTGAAAAAAAGTTCTCCAAAATATATTAAGTGAAAAAAATCCAAGAGAAGAAACAGAGACAAATAGCATGACCCATACTTGTATCACATACCTCAGCTAGTGTCTGGACAGAGAAAACTGAACAGGAAATAAAACAAGGCTCTCAAACAAAAAAGTTAATTTCACCATCCCTATAGTAAAAGGGAAAAGTACAAAGCTACACCAAGAGAAATGACAAAGGTCAAAGTTATTGTCCTTAACTTTCCCCCTCTAACTCCTAATGATCTCAAAGATCTCATGTGCTTCACAGCACATTCAAAAATCCAAACACAACAAAAGGTCCCATGCTCAAAATTTAACACAAGATACTTCCCTTTTAAAATCTCAGTGTTTTTAGGGAGGACCAGATAAATTTAAAGAAAATTCATGTAATCAGTACACATTTCGAAGTGAATAGTTAAATGTATTTTCCTGATAAACCTTCAAAAAAAAGCCAACTGTTTTTTGACCCAAATGTCTGTGCAATTAATGGAAATTCAGGATTTAGGGATATTATATAGGTGAGAGGAAGAAAGAAATAATGCTTCTTTTCAATCATGTCACCTACATAAAAGAGTGCACTAAAAGATACAAAGAAATAATTTGCATTCCCAGGAGCCGCTGGCCAACTGGGAAAAAAGGACTAGAGGGAGTAGTAAGTCACCCTGAGCTCCTTGAGATGACCCACTATCTTGTAAGTGAAAGGACCTTGGGCAGCTTACAATGGTGTACAACAGCAGAACTGTTAACAACCAAAACAGGATCAAAAATTAAATCCAAAGGCTAATTCAACTAAAGGCGGGTTGGTACTCCTGGAGTTTCAAGTTAATCATAACAGGGATTACTAACAAGAACAGGAGAGGAGAGAGAAAGGATGGGGCCCACCTTGGGCCAATTTCTGCTAAATGTACCTTCTAACTCAGCATTACTTCCCCTTTCCAAGTTTTATTCTTTCTCATCTCCAGCCCCTCTGCCAGAGAAGCCAAAAGGTACAGCAACAGAGATATTTAGGGGGCCACAATACAGCTTCCTGCTCAATTCAATCCCCACTCTCCCTCACACACCCTTTTCCAATAAAAAATGTTTGGTGCAGCTATGTAAAAGTAATCCAAATTGTGGTGGGTTAGGAAGCCCCTAGTCATTGTTGTGAATTACCAACCATCTCTCTCCTGTCTTCCAGAAGAGACAGCTTACTCTTCTTGTTGTCACTGTCCAGTTTAATGCTTCTAATCAACTATGTATGTGCAATTAGAAACTAAGCTTTATAGAAATAGAGTAAATAAACTTTGAGTAGGGGCTTTTCATAAGGAATTAAACACATGGGCTTTTAATACAAGCATTTGCAAACAATTACTTCCTAACTAAGGGGACTGTTAGGCTTGTTTTCAGAGGACAAAGTAAACAGAAGCATACCAGATGGACAAGTTGGGCATTAATACTCATTTTTAATCAAGTACAAAAGGCAATTAAAGTGATTACTGAGTTCTTTTTTTTAACGGTTCTATGCAATTAATAAGAAAAATATCTTTCCACATTTGTTAATAGGCTTGAGTCTATTCTATAAAATTCAGAGATTATCATCATCTGGAAAGCACTGTGCTGAGTACATTTATGTATCTTAGTTCACTTAATATTTACAACACTCCAGACAGTAAGAGTACATCCCCATGTTAACAAATAAAGAAAGAAAAGCAAAAACTAAGCATATCCCGCACTTCAAATATTCATCACCAAAGTCTTCTAAAACAATGTAACAAGAAAATAGTGGTATTTAGAAATATTAAAATATCAAATTTATGGCAACTCAAAATGTTTAAAGGCACAATTACAATTTACCTTAAAAAGGAGCTGGGGGGTAGGGCGGTGAAGAAAGGTCCAAGTAAAAGAGAACCCTATATTCTGCTGGATCTAGTTGTGTCATCCATCACATTTTATGTTAACAATTCAAACATTAATATTAAAAATACTTCCTCTATTAGAAAACTATGAATTTTCTACAGTTTTCTATAATAAAAGGAATATCAAAAATACTTAAAACAAATTTCTTGCTCAAGCAAGTGTGGCTCAGTTGGTTAGAGTGTCATCCCATGCACCAGAAGGTCAAGGGTTCGATTATGGGTCAGAGCACATACCTAGGTTGTGCTCAATCCCCAGTCAGGGTGTGTACAGGCACATACAAGCATATACAAGAAGCAACCAATCGATGTATCTTGCACACTGATGTTGGTTGGAGTGTCATCCTGTGCACCAAGGTGGCAGGACTGATTCCTGTTCAGGGCACATACCCAAGTTTCAGGTTTGATCCCAAGTCAGAGCACATGCAGGAGGCAACAGCTCGGGGGGGGGGGGGGGGGGGAGGGGGGGGGGGCCGCGGGGTGTGTGTGTGTGTGTGTGTGTGTGTGTGTGTGTGTGTGTGTCTTCCTCTCTCTAAAATCAATTTTTTTTAAAAGAAAATAGTTTCCCTGGAGAATTTAATGTAAGTATATATGTGTTGATGACAGGTAGATGAAAAATACAATGCCCTATATAGCAAAAGGGTTAAAGAAGAAAACACTTTCCCACCTAAATTTCTCAAAGTTACATAATAAACATTTTTCTGTGCTGAACAAAACTTAAAATCTAAAATAACAACAACATAATACAACAATTTTCTCTTAACACTGTTTTTTTCAGGGGGGAAAATAAATCCCAAGTTTCTACCAGATATGAATACCAAAACATAAAAAAACCATTGCACAAACTCAACATAAAATCCTAGCATCCAAAAACTGGTTTCATATTTGAAAATTTTACTTATTCATGATAATGAAAAACAAGTACTGAAGTTACCTGATACTAAGGTAAAAATGAAGACTTCAAGGAAGGGAATTCTGTACAGTCGAAAAAGAAATCATGGTTGAATTTCTACCTTTCATAAGCTTCAGTGGCCCTCAATACCACCTTAACCACTTATGCCATCCGATTCCTAAAAAATAAACACAATGAACAAAACACATTACTTACGGAGGAAAAAAATACTGTACAAATACAAAATGGAGAAACTGGTACCAATAATGAAGTAATCATTCTTTGTAAATAATAAGCTATGCCTGAATGACCAGTGCAATGACTTCTTTTAAGTCTGAAACTGGGAAAATATAATAGTAATAAGTAATAACTTGTGATATAACCCTGACCTTACAAAAAATAATTTGCCTAGATCTGGAGTTTACAGATTCAGAGATACGAAACATTAAAGGAAATTCAGAGGATTACAGAACTAAATGGTTAAAAAAGAGAAAACAAAGATTAAGAAACCACTTAACACTATTCATATCTGCTTTGTAATGTCTATGAAGTGAAGAATCACACATAATACCAAACCTTACAAATAATAAAACTAGTTATGTACAGAATGCAATTGTAATCACAATAGAAAAGATCTAGCTTCAGAAACATAATCAGCAAGGTTATCTTTGATAGGAAAAGCTGACAAAAAGATGAGAGTAATCATAGGGAGACTGTGTACCATATCAAAAAAAATATAAACCCAAGGCATAAGCTATAAACAAGAAGAAAACTGGCAGTGAGTATTTTTACAAAGAGACTTGAGATAGCAATAAGTTTTGATAAATGTGCTTAGTAAAAGACTAAAGAGTTTATGGAACTTACTACCACAGAGATATTTAAAAATACTGGATTCCTATTTTATCAAGAATAATTCATACATACTCCTTCACAGGAAGCTTGGAGACCAAACAATATATGAAAACTCTGATTTTGTATCAATTTTTACAATGGTGCAAAGGCAAGAACAGTCTTTCTCACCTAGAACCGGTAATAATTCCATCTGTGAACTTCAGAAAGTATAATACTAACTCACTTTTCAAAAACATTTCAACACTGTGTCCTATTTTAAAACTTTAAATTGACATAGAGCTATTCACCCTCAGTACCCTTCTATTTCAGAATTTTCCAGAATATTTTTGCATGTCTATTTTTCCAGATAAACCTTTATCCCAAAGTAAAATTTCTTTTCTTTCAGTAGGATTGTATCATATTTAAATGGTAGTGAAATGACAACAGTAACAATAACCTGGGCAGGAGAAAGAGGGAGTCACAATCCAGATCTGCTCTAATAAATTATCTAAAACGCCCAGTTTTGCCCAGCTGGTGTGGCTCAGCAGTTGAGCGTTAATCAAGGAACCAGGAGTTTGCTGGTTTGATTCCCAGTCAGGGCACATGCCCAATTTGCAGGCTTGATCCCCAGTGGGAGGCTTGCAGGAGGCAGCCAATCAATGATATTCCTTTCTCATTGATGTTTCTCTCTCTCCATCCTTCACCCTTCCTCTCTCTCTCTAAAAATCAATAAAAACTTATTAAAAATAAATGCCCAGTTTTAACAATATAAGATATATTTTTTTAAATGAAATGTGACCCATATTAAAACAGCAGTCATTACAAGCTGTTTCTGAGTATCCCCATATATTGGTTTAAGCAGAGACTTCAAAATATTTATTATAGGTATGTTAAAAGTAAAATGTTTTCGTAATTTTAATTATGAAAACAACCAATCAATAAAGAGATTATCAATAAGGGTACAGAAATTATGTAAAAGAACCACATGGAAACTAAATTTGAAGAATAAAAAAATATTTACTAGAAGGTTCAGAAGTGGATTCAAGATGGCAGAAAAAAAATCAATGACCTTGAAAATAGATACATCAGTAGAAGTTATCCAATCTAAAGAACAGAGAAAAAAAGTTGAAGAAAATTGAATAGAGTCTCAGAGACCAATATACTAACACTTCTAGAGTCCCCAGAAGGAAAGGAGAGAAAGGGCAGAAAAAATATTTTTCAAATAACATACCAGACTAAAACATTCCAAATTTAATTTTTTAAAAGAAATCAAATCTACAGGTCTTAAAAGTTCAATGAATTTAAAGTAGAATAAATACAAAGAGACCACACTGAGACATATCAGGAAACTATTTAAAGCAAACTCAGAAAAATCTAGCAGGCATAAAGAGAAAAATTTCTCAGCATGTGCAGGGAACCATCAACACAATTAAGAGCTGACTTGCAATCAAAACCAATAAGGGACATGAGACAGTGGCATCACATATTCAAAGTGCTGGGGGGAAAAGCTGTCAACCAAGAAGGCAACAAAATTATCCTTCAAAAATGAAGGCATAATGTGGTCTCAGATAAACTAAGGCTGAGAGAATTTTTTGCTAGCAGACCTGCCTAATAAATCCTAAAGGAAGTACATGAACCGAAATAACACCAGACTCAAAATACAGAGGAAGAAAAGAACACCAGAAATGGTTAAAATGGTAAATGTGTGTGTTAAAAGACCATAAATATAGTCACATGCCACATACAACATTTAGGTCAATGACAGACAGACGACATATATCACAGTGGTCCCTTAAGATTATAATGGAGCTGAAATATTGCATATAGTGAGTTGGTAGCCGTTGTAATGTTAACACAATGCATTACCAGTATCTATAGTATTCAATACAGTAACGTACTGAATGGGTCTGTAGCCTAGAAGCAGTAGGCCTCTACCATCTACATTTGTTTAAGTGCTCACTGTATGATGTTAGTACAATGAAATCACATAACAACACATTTCTATGCATGTAGCCCGTTCAAGTGATGCATGACTATATTTTTCTCATTTCTTCTCTTAATATCTTTCAAAGATATAAGACTGTAGAAAGCAATGATTATAACACTGTATTGCTGGGTTCTTACAGCATAGATAGATGCAATATATATAACAACTAGAGGCCTGGTGCACAAATTCATGCACTGGGGGCGGGGGGGGGGGGTCCCCTCAGCCCAGCCTGTGCCCTCTCGCAGTCAGGGAGCCCTCGGGGGATGTCCAACTGCTGCGGAGGCAGAAGAGGCACCTACCACCACTGCTGCGCTTGCCAGCCATGAGCCCAGCTTCTGGCTGAGCAGTGCCCCTCTGTGGGAGCGCACTGACCACCAGGGACAGCTCCTGAGTTGAGCGTCTGCCCCCTGGTGGTCAGTGCACATCATAGCGACTGGTCCTTCTGCCATCAGTTCGAAACCAGCTCTCCGACATACTCCGAGGGGTCCCAGACTGTGAGAGGGCGCAGGCCAGGCCGGGGGACCCTACCAGTGCATGATCTGGACATGCGAGGTTGGCCAGCCGGGAAGGGACCGCGGGAGGGCTCCAGGGTGTGTCCAGCCCTTCTCGCTCAGTCCCAATCAGCCGGATCCCAGCAGCAAACTAACCTACCAGTCGGAGCGTCTGCCCCCTGGTGGTCAGTGCATGTCATAGCGACTGGTCAACCAGTTGACTATCTGCCCGCTGGTGGTCAGTGCACGTCATAGCAAGCAGCTAAGCGGCCTTAGCATATCATTAGCATATTACGCTTTGATTGGTTGAATGGCCGACCGGACTGGAACTTAGCATATTAGACTTTTATTATATAGGAACTAGAGGCCCGGTGCACAAAAATTTGTGCACTTGGGGGGGTCCCTCAGCCGGCCTGTGCCCTCTCGCAGTCTGGGACCCCTCGGGGGATGTCCGACTGCTGGCTTAGGCCCGCTCCCAGGAGCATCGGGCCTAAGCTGGCAGTCAGACATCCCTCTGGCAGCCCGGGAGCCCTCGGGGGATGTCCACTTGCCAGCAGGGAACAGGCCTAAGCTGCAGTCGGACATCCTTAGCGCTGCTGAGGAGGCAGGAGAGGCTCCCGCCACCACTGCTGTGCTGGCAGCTGGCAGCCTAGTTTGTGGCTGAGAAGAGCTCCCCCTGTGGAAGCGCACTGACCACCAGGAGGCAGCTCCTGCATTGAGCGTCTGCCCCTGGTGGGCAGTGTGTGTCATAGTGACCAGTCATTCCCAGTCGTTCTGCTGTTAGGGTCAATTTGCTTATTACCCTTTTATTATATAGGATAGTGGCCCAATGCACAAATTGAATGCACGGGGGAGGGGAGGGAAGGACTGGGAGTGTCCCTTAGCCCGGCCTGCACCCTCTCCAATCTGGGACCCCTCGGGAAATGTCCGACTGCCGCCCCCTGTCATACAAAGAGCAGGGCGGTCGGGAGGTTGTGATTCCACCCTCAGTCACGCTCAGGGTAAGGCCGATTGGGGATTGGGGCACCATCCCCTGTCACACTCAAGGCAGGGTCGATGGGGAGGTTGCGGCACCACCCCCTGTCATGCACAGAGCAGGGCCAATCAGGGGGTTGGGGCACAGCCCCCTGTCACGCACAGAGCAGGGCCCATCAGGGGTTTGGGGCACCGCCCTCTATCACCCACAGAGCAGGGCCGATCAGGGGGTTGGGGTGCCGCCACTCTCACACTCAGGGCAGGGCCGATGGGAAGGTTATGGCTCTACCCCATCACACACAGAGCAGGGCCCGTGGGGCGGGGGGGGGGTGGTTGGGGCGCCGCACCCTGTCACACACAGAGCAGGGCCGATCAGGGGGTTGGGGCGCCGCACCCTGTCACACACAGAGCCGCAGGGCGATCAGGGGGTTTGGGCACTGCCCCCTGTCACGCTGATCCCAGTGCTGGGAGGCATATTACCCTTTTACTATATAGGGTAGAGGCCTGGTGCATGGGTGGGGGCCGGCTGGTTTGCCCTGAAGGGTGTCCTGGATCAGTGTGGGGGTCCCCACTGGGGTGCCTGGCCAGCCTGGGTGAGGGGATGATGGCTGTTTGCAGCTGGTCACACACTCTTCAGGGTGGGGGTCCCCACTGGGGTGCCTGGCCAGTCTGGGTGAGGAGCTGAGGGCTGTTTTCAGGCTGGGGGTGACTGAAGCTCCCAACCGCTCCCAACCGCAAGAGGCCATGGGAGGTTGGCCGGCCAGCCCCACGCCCGATTGGGTTGGTTTGCTGGCCACAGTGGTTGTCATAGTGACTGGTTGTTCTGGTTGTTACGGCGTTCTGGTCACTGGCTTTTTATATATATACTAGAGGCCCGGTGCACAAAAATTTGTGCACTCAGCGGGGAGAGGGGTCCCTCAAACCCGGCCTGTGCCCTCTTGAAGTCTGGGACCCCTCGGGAGATAACGACCTGCTGGCATAGGCCTGCTCCCGGGTGGCAGAGGGCAGGCCCAATCCCTAGGTGCAGCCCCTGGTTGGGCTCAGAGCAGGGCCGATTGGGGAGTTGGGGCGCCGCCCCTGTCATGCACAGAGCAGGGCGGATTGGGAGGTTGCGATGCCACCCTCAATCACGCTCAGGGTAGGGCCGATTGGGGGGTTGGGGCACCACCCCCTGTCACACTCAAGGCAGGGCTGATAGGGAGGTTGCGGCGCGACCCCCTGTCACGCACAGAGCAGGGCGGATCAGGGGGTTGGGGCGCTGCACCCTGTCACACTCAGGGCAGGGCCAATGGGGACGTTATGGCTCTACCCCATCACACACAGAGTAGGGCCCGTGGGGGTGGTTTGGGGCGCCGCACCCTGTCACACACAGAGCAGGGCAGATCAGGGGGTTGGGGCGCCGCCCTCTATCACCCACAGAGCACGAATCCATGCACCAGGTAACTAGTAAAATATAAAAGAGTAAATTAGAGAAAAACTTGGTTCTTTAAAAATAAAAGTCAACAAAATTGAAAAACTTTTAAGTAGACTGACCAAAATCAAAGAGAAAAATAAACACAAATTACCAAAATCAGGAATAAAAGAAAGAACATTACCACTGACACCCTTCCGAATAAAAAAAAATTTTTTTAAGAATTATGAGGGAAGGAATATTATAAACAAGTTTATGGAACACATTAGACTTTTATCAAATGGAAAAATTTCTAAAAAGACACATATTATAAAAAATGACTACAGATAGAAAAGTCTATGACAAAAAACAAGCTGAATTAGTACTTTAAAATCTTCCCCCCACACACACACACACAAAAAGGCCCAAATGACTTCACTGATTAATTCCATCAAATATTTAAAGAAGAAATTCCAATCCTTCATAAACTCCTCCACTAAACAGAAGAGGGCACATTTTACAGCTCAATCTATGAAGCCAGAGTTACCCAGACACCAAAGTCAGACAAAGACATCACATGAAAACTACATACCACCATCTCTCCTGTTTAAACAAAGATACAAAAATGCTTACTAAATATTGGCTAAAGGAATCCAGCAACATATAAAAAGGCCTACACACCATTACCAAGTAGAACTGCCCCATGAATGCAGTTGATTTAAAATTTGAAAGTCAATTAATGTAACATACCATATTAAGACAATAAAAGACAAAAACTACCTAGTTATTTCAATAAACACAGAAAAAAAACATTTACAAAACTCAATACACATTCATGAGCATTTCCTCAACTTGATAAAAGGTATCCACAAAATTCCCACAACTAACATCATATTACATGGTTAAACACTAAATATTTCCCTTGTAAAAATCATGATAAACATTTTAACCACTTCTATTCAACAATGAAGGTCCTAGCTAGTAAAATAAAAGAGGCATAAGCAAATAAATAACTAAAGGCATCCAGATTAGGAAGGAAAAAACTTGTCTTTATTCTCTAGTGATTCTGTATGTAGAAATTTCCCAATGAAGCCACAAAAAAAGCTACAAAAACTAATAAACAAGTTCAGCACACTCTCAAAAAGAAGTTCAGCAAGGTCACAAGATTTAGATCAATTAACAGAAATCAATGGTATTTCTATAGTGAAATGACAGCTTTGTATCTTTATCTTCCTATCAAAAATTTGAATTGATTCAAATT